GGCTACCCTTCTCATTCCCAAATCTTCCATTAAAATTTCTGAACCAAGCCCCAAGATAGTCCACATAACTTTCCCGTCTCTTCAATGGTCCACTGTTGGTCTTCAAGCACAAGTGCACCAATTTCATCGACATTTCCTTCTGATCAAGAAGTTGACAGACGTCGAGAACAAAGTCTGTCATCAATCAACATTTCGCCTTTTTGGAAAAGGAAAACCACTCGAATCCTGGAGTTTTTCCCGTAGTGCTGTCCTTGTAAGCTGTGTTCAACATCACAACAGTTTCTGCGGCATTTTTCCCGAGCAGGGATTAAAATTTCACAGCCCCACGCTGTTCTCTTTAAATTGGCCATCACAAAAAATGAGGTTCAAGTGAAACTGCTTTTATTAAAAAGTTCAGTGCGACCAGAGAGAACCTTCCCAGGCAATGCCACTGGGTGCGCTAACTCAGAGCGAGTGGTTCAATGCTCGCCTAGTGGGAAAATGCGTACTACAAAAGTTCTGCTCCGCCCAGTGAAATTCTGGGGGTTTTGGGGGAGTATCCCCATGTATTCTCCCCTCTCCACACCAGGGAAAACACCAGAGGGGAGCCTGGGCCTGAGAGGATGTTGTGAGGCTGGCAGAGCACAGGCACCTCTGGGCCTCGAGTGGTGTGTGTGTGTGTGTGTGTGTGTGTGTGTGTGTGTGTTTAATAATTAGATTTGGGTATTTTCTCTCTCCAGTGGGCTGAGATGTTAATGCCCTCAGCCTTGAGGTTTCCGGGGCTTGAGGGAGCCAGGGCAGCTGTGCCCAGTACCTCACAAATACTGTCCCATACTCCACGACCTGATCATGGCTAGGAAGCAATAGCCCTTCTTCTACGCAGTCATGGTCCCGGCGCAAGAGTCTTGAGCGTCCCCTAAAGACTCCCAGATCCTACCTCGCTCCTCCCGAATCAGAATCTGCATTTCTACAAGGTCTCCGGTGATTCCCATCCAAGTCTGAGGAATGCTATCAGAGCCAACAGATGGGAAGTACGGACATCCTGATGGTACCCCTGTCACAAGCTCCACTGCTAGTTGAAAGGGTGGCGGTTTCAACCCACCTATTCTCGCAGCAGCACAAGGGCTAGATGATCTACTCCTGCAGAGGGTTTTCCAAAAGAAAGCCTGAAACCCATTATTCCAACATGCCATGGCCACGTGGGACCGAAGAACTGCAAGGCACAGGCCTTCCAAGGTGCTGAGCATAAAGGACGCTGACGGCTGCGCATTTGTCCCAGGAGGTGGTTGATGGGTTCAAACGGCCACACTTTCAGTTAACAGTGGAACAACTGAGCACTGCACTCCTCGGGTTTTTCCCTGTAGAGACTTCAGGCTAGAAACCCGGAGGCAGCAGTTCTGTTCAGTGTCACGATGCCACCACAAGTCAAACTCAAGTCGAAGGCACTAACAACCATGAGAAGGAGACTCTTAGGTCAGCTTGCAGATTTCCCATGGGAAAGAGAACTCGGGGTGATAGGTTTATTGTGCCTATCTGGCCAATAGGAGCATGTGCGATTAATCA